GTATTGTTTTCTTTTCAAAGGAAAGTGTACGGTTTGTACTGTAAAGTTTGAATAACTGAGATTTACTCATTTTCGCGTGTCATGCTTATTGACCCTGATTGGCTTTTCAAATAACTTCAAACTTACAAAAACTTCTGCATTGTCACCTGGAATATAAAAAAACGAAGATAATTTCATTTGCTCTTGCTAATCCTTTCCCCAAACTCATTCTTTCAAAGGTATCTCAAGAAGGCCATCAATTATTGACTCACGCACCAAGTTGGTAATACCTTACAAATTATTATCCTTTTTGTATTTTAAATCCAAGCTGTTTGGATGGAGGCAGTTGAAAGTATAGTTAATTATTAATGATCTGTAAAGTTTATGGCGTACAAATTGCCAAAGCGAAAAGCCAGTTCCTTTAAATAGCCGATTCCACCAAGCACCATTCAAGTTTTTTTGTTTTCTTTTAATAAAACAACGAACACCTTGGGCTTGGGAGGGTGTTTGGGTAAAAGAAAGCTTCCTAGCAGGCAACTGGGCAACGGAAATTTACTACCCATAGTAGTAGTTTTGGACTATGCAACAGTGGAAGTATAATCCACTTTGACTAACCAAAAAAGAACAGTTTTCATGAAAAAAATGTACCAACAAAAATAGACATTTTGCTTCAGCAATTTAAATATGTGGAAAAATAAATAAAACCAGAGGTCTGTTTTATCAAACGGTAAGCGGATCTGTGTATTTAAACAAAGGGGACGTAGAGAAATTATTCACTTTTACACTGAAATTAACCTCTTTGCTGGCCTCATGTTGTTGGTATATAGAAGATTCCATTTAGTAAATTTGCTGAACCATCTATTTATTAATGGATTCTTGTTGCAATCAATAAATCTACTTATCTAGTAATATCAAATGGCAGGCGTTTTGATGGTTATCATTAGCCCTTTAGTTGACTTCAAGCTTCACAGAGGGGGGGAGGAACATCAAAGTGAAAAAAAGTCAAGACGGGGGGGGGGGGAANAGAAGTGTTTCAAAGACAAAGGTAGAAAAAAAGGTGAGGTGAGTACTGTGGAAGTAGTCGAATATGATATACAGTAGAGTGATGGCATTTTGAAGGCTATTTTAAATTAAGGCCTCTCCAAGCTGACCTGCCCTGTCCAAAAATTCGAGTGGGCACAAGGTTCCCACAATCATAGGTGGCAACGTTGTAGATTCTAAGAATAAATGAAGTGGTGGGATGAACTCGTCCTTTTAAGTCTTCACTTCCTTTGGTAATTTCTCACATGGTGTTCTGCATCGAAGAAATAATTAAAATTAGAGCACTCACTAATATTGGTAGTAGACAAAGATCTCAATTCTTAGAATGGTAAGCCACTGCTTTATTAACTTGTTTTAAATGTTAACATATCATTAATTGAAGTGACATTATATAGTACTCTAACACTTGTAGCGTTTCAACGGTGGAAAGTGATCGACAAACAGGTCTGGCAAGCCAGAAGTCAAAGGTTCTATAATCATCGGCTAAAATTCGTTAGCTAGAAAGGTTCCAAAATGCCCTGCTGGGTTTTGGGAAATTTAGTAATGTACAGAAGCCGGAGAATTATTCCTTTAATTAGCCAATAATAATATCGCTTTCCCCGTTTATCTTGTTTAAATCCTTCTAATCCAGCTCGCTAAAAACACCATCTATTTAGGCGACAAGTTCGCTCCTTATTTCAGCAATAAGTGCACAAATATTTAATAAATGCTTCTATATATTTGCATTCCTGCGTCTTGTGTGGGATATGAATTTTTGGGAAAGTGGTTTTCTACTTGAAATTCAACCTCCATGATAAGAACTTTTTCTGAGGTCGCCTCTTAGATTAGAAGGCAATTATCCATCTTAGAAAAGGACTACACTCTTACCAAGAAGACGAATGAGTAGGAGCCGGCATAATGCTTAATTATGTCCTCTAATACATGGCGATTAAAAGACCATCTTCAATTGAAATGACTTGAGAAGTAATACCTTTATCTTAAAAATGAAACATAGGTCAGATCAGATTAAATTTAAATACACTTGTCATCCGTTCCTTCATTGCGATGTTTAGATGTTCTTTTACAATCATTGCAGTAAAACGGATTATTTGCAAATATTTAATTGCTAGTTAAATGAGTGAAAACAAGCACTGTAAAGTGAGCGTCTAATTACCAGTTATCGCGCATGTTATTCAGTAATTGACAGTTTGGGATTGAAAACTAGGGCTGGTGCATATAAAATTCCAGGGTGTAAGTAGCAGGGCGAAGGATTTGGCAATTAAAATAGCAGAAAGTTGAAAGAACCGCAAATAGGAAGAAGGTGGCCTTGAAAGGATACTGCAAGAGTTGACTAGCAGAAGTTGGGAGGGCGAGGGGGTGAAAATTTTCCATTCCCTATTGAAAAATTAAATTTTGTTAGCAACCTTAAGAATATAGGCGTAAAAACATGATGAGTATAGTTATTAAATTGTCTATGGCAAGTAATTAAAGGAATAATAGTAAAATGGTGGGTCAATAATTTACGGTATCGGCTACATACTGTTCCACTCTGAAAGTAGAATTCAGAGAGGACATTTCAAGACCTGTCAAAAATTATCGAAACCGAAAAATTGGCACAGTTAAGGGATAATAGCAAATGAATGCAAGGTGGTTTCAGGCATCGGATTTATGAAATGCATGACAAATTTTCATTTAACTTACAAGTACGATATGAAATTATTTTTGAAAATTAAATTAACTCACTTTGTCATTATGGCTATGCTTCCCACCACCCCCCACCCCCCACCCCCAACCACTCCCACATTCAATATTCTGTTTTTTAATAGTTTTCAAACATGACTTCCGATCCAAATTTCTTAATAGTTTAAACAAAAAAGCAGAAAAACGAAATTTAGGTAAAAATAACCGATTTTTATTCTCTTCAATTTCCTAAAAAGCTCAAAAAGACTTTAATGTCGATTTAATGTCATTTTGCCGTTCATGTAGATCGGTAAATCAAAAGTTTAAGTCTGTCTCTCTCCCCCCCCCCCTCTCTGTTCCCCTTCCTTACGAATCCCTTCTGGGTATGATTTAGTGAAACAGTTGTGCGCGTAATACAATTTTGTGATGAGGAAGTGGTTGGGTCTTGGCATCTTCTCGCCCGTTGACTCAGCATCTCTGCATTCGCATGAAGTTGAAAAAGAGTGTACAATGAAGGTTAGTAAGTAAGGGAAGGAAATTGGGACCTGGAAAAGACCATCGCTTTAAAATGCTTGTCACTATCGATTTTTATATAACTGAATATTCCTTTTTTCTTCTGTGGTGTTTTTCCGAAATCTCTTCCTAGCATGCTTTACATCACACCTCATGGAGGAGGAAACGTATTCGAACGCCATGACAGTCAAAAGTATTCGAGGCGTGTCCTTTGCACCGTACGTGAAACAAAGCATCTCTTATTCCGCATTCTGTGCTTTTGTTTTTCTACAAAGACCCTTCTCATCCGAAAAGAGCATAAATATTCGTGCCTCAGCAGGATATCCCACTATGTTCAGAAGGTTCTTCGCCTTTACAGGCCATCTTCGGAGCATATTGTAAGAGAATTTGACACTTGCATGAGCCCGTTGTAACAAAGGTCTTTATTTAGTGCCAAATTCATGATATGATCTAAAAAATTCCATCAACAAAGATACCAGGCTGTTTTATCAACTTTTTTAACGTCTAAATTTCAGTAAACCTGCTGTACGAATGCAATCAAATCGTTTGTTATTCACCTTTCTTGTACACGAAGCAGCCTCGTAGTCTCTACTACAAATGTTCATTTCATTAGAAAATCGTCTTCACACTATTGAAGATCATTGAGCAGCATCCATGTTCCCCATCTTTTGTTGGTCGTCACGAATCATCATAGTGCAATTTATTCTGTCAGAGATTCAAGAGAGTTGCAGTCGTCATCCATTCTCTTTATCACCACGTTTAGGAATGAAGATGGATTTTAACTCATAAAGAAAAATATGCGTTCGTGAACGCTTTTGACATATCTAGAAGAGTAATCAAATCTTGATCTAAATTTTTCCCGAACGCTGTATGTATTGATGGAAAGAGTTGGTCACGATTCCATGACCTCCATTTAAGATGCTCGGATCAAATTTGGTAAATTGTAACGAATTTCAAATCAGACTCAAAAAGTAACTTTCGAATCACCCCCTAAACAAAAAATTATTTCATTAAAAGTAACAATTTTACGGTTTCAATTAATGCCTAGATAATTACTATTTTTTAGAATTCTAAAAGTTTAGGCACTTATGACCTCTGTCTAATATACCTTTCCAATTCCGCAGAAGTGACATCAATCGTAAGGTCATTATTTTTGTCTTCCGGTAAGAGCAACCAAATTGCATTGCTTGATTACCAACTTTGTCCCCTCCTTAGGAGACAATATTTAGTCTTTCTGTCCATTTCAAATTAAAGAAATATTTTTTCATTTCGAGGCTCAGTGAGATAAGTGGAACTAGGGTGCTTTTATGTAAATAACTCGAAGAACAGAGCAAAATCCTAACTACAAGAACCTGTTTATATTGTAGAAGTTAGAAAACCATTTATTACTAATATGATAGTTCATATTCTTTATCACTTTTTAATTGAATGAAGAAGAAGATTTCTACACGTGTGTATCTGTCTGTCTCTTTTACATCTGTGAATTACTCTTCTCTACCCCATCTCCACTTTGGGCAAATTTGAATTTCCTCCCCTTTGTAAAGACCGAAATTTAAACCTTCTCATTTGAAGTGTGGCAGCCAATGGAAGAAGCGAAGAACAGGTTTCTGCAAATCGCTCTCGATTCAAGTACCGAGCCAACAATATTGCTCATATTTTTTTCTTTAATTCGCCAGCATTGCCATTTTCATTATCATCAGCATCATCATTCTAAATGGAAGAAGGAGAAGAAGAGGCATACCTTGAGTTAGCATAATTGCAAACGTCGATGGAAGCACTTATATTCTCGAATCCCAACCGCCTGTCTATCAATCAGGACCAGGAGAATCAACAACCTCAGTATTGTCATCATCATTGGAAGATGTGACGTCTGTCGAATAACCACGGTAATAATAATTGTGAAAGTTAAAAAAGCTTTGCATGACATTTAACGGTATATATATATATATATATATATATATATATGAGGCTTTTAATAATTGTATTTCAAATTTATATTAAATGTGACCTCAGTACAAAATGATTAACATCAAAAATTACAGGAGTGAAAGAAAAGATATGAAAATTACAATAAGATATCCGTATATGGAAAATTTTGATAAACAATGCATCTCATTGTCACCCCTGTCGGCTTCTCTTCCATCAGAATAGATTTCGTCATAAACGTCTTCTTCACTGGATGTTACAACAACGGTCTCAATCTCTTCATACACATTACTTCCTTCGTCACAATCGGCATCATCATTATCATCATCAGTATCAAAATAACTGACATCCTCACGCCAATGGGGCCAATTAATGAACACCTTGTCGGCATGGTTAATTTTTAATATTATCATTCCAAAAATAAGAATTTAGTAAAAGTCGATTTAGTAGAGCAATTGATGCGGCAAAATGTCAATAACAGAATTCTTCTTATCAACGACTTATTGATTAATGATTTAAATTTAAGTGGCTTTCGTTGCGAACTATTCATAAAAGCTGAAAATTAAAAGCTCTCTATTTGAAATTGCAACAACTAACTGAAAAAGTGAAGAGCAGAATTCTGCGAATTGCATTCCATTCAAACACTGAGGTTTAAAACTTGCAAGCCTATAATATTGCTCATATTCTGGCTTCATTTAGCGAATAAGAACAATTTACACTCCTATTGAAAAAAGCAATTAAAATTAAAATCAATTGTAATATCGTATATTGGAACACCAAGTGATGCTCGGGTTTACAAATTAATGAAGATCTATTGGATTGGCAACTAAGGCATTGCCGTTTTTGTTGACGGATTCACTCTATACTTTCTTTTGTTTTGTTAACGTGGCCAAAGCATCTAACCTATATTTTTTTCTTACTGTATGGGCTTCTAGGTTAATTAGTAAAAATTTTTTTGTTTAGTTCTTTAGTTTTGTTTTTATCCCAATTTAAAAATGAAAGAACAGGACGTGCACTTCCGACACATTTTATTGTATTACTTCCGAAAAGGCAAGAACGCATCGCAAGCACAAAGGAAGTTATGTGCCGTATATGGAGATGAAGCCTTAAAAGAAAGGCAGTGTCGAAATTAGTTTGAAAGATTTCCTTCCGGTGATTTTTCACTGAAAAATTCACAACGATCTGGCCGCCCAGTCGAAGTGGATGAAACCCATATCAAGGCCATTATCGATTCAAATCGTCACAGCACAACACGAGATATTGCAGAGAAGCTCAATGTGTCGCATACATGCATTGAAAAAAAAATTAAAAACCCTTGGTTATGTCAAGAAACTTGATTTATGGATCCCTCACCAGTTAAAGGAAATTCATTTGACGCAACGGATTAGCATCTGTGATTCGCCGCTACTGAAACGCAATGAGAATGATCCATTTCTGAAGAACCTAGTTACTGGCAACGAAAAGTGGATAGTTTATAAGAATGTTACTCGCAAGAGATCATGGGTGAAGCAAGATCAACCAGCCCAAACAGTATCAAAAGCAGAGATTCACCAAAAAAAAGATTATGCTGTCAGTAGCCTGGTGGGATCACAAAGGAATTTTGTATTTTGAACTCATGCCGCAGAACCAAACGATAAATTCAAATGTGTATGTTGAAGAACTCGAAAAACTGAAGGATGCAATTGAAGATAAGCGGCCGGCATTATCAAATCGGAAGGGTGTTGTTTTCCACACATCTTTGATAACGCAAGGCCCCACACATCTTTGGTTACTCGGCAAAAATTATTGGAACTGGGTTGGGATGTTTTGTCACACCCACCATATAGCCCTGACCTTGCGCCTTCGGATTACCATTTGTTTCGTTCCATGCAAACTCTTTAAATGGTAAAATTTGTAACAACGCGGATGATGTCGGATCACACCTAATTCAATTTTTTAATAGCAAAGACCAGACATTTTACGAACGGGGAATTTTTACTCTGCCAGAACGATGGAAAAGGTCATCGACAAGAACTGCCAATATCTAATTGAATAAAGTTACATTTTTAAACGAAAATTCCGAATTTGCCTTCTTATTTGAAATCGACAATGATTTAGTTGCCAACCTAATAATATGAATCTGTGTAGTTATTGCTTTCATCCAGCAAAATTTCTCTCAGGAGTATTGCAATTCCTTCCGAATCTTCGTCTGAGTAAACTTCTTACAGTGAATTAAATTCATGAGGAATTCAAACCAAGGTAATTTCTACAACTGCTTGAACACAACAATGTAATTATTTGTGAAATTACTCAACTCTAGAATTTCCTTGAATGCCTCGAAACCTCCACACCGAACAAAGTGTTCTTGTATTTGTTGTCCGGACTAAAGCATCTTTTTGAGAGTTCCAAAAACGAGGAAACCAGTTCAATACATTTGGCGAAAACCGGAAAGATAAGACAATGTCTCATCATTTCGTTCTGTTATCTACTCGACAACAAATTCCTCGAGAGGTGTATTTCGGCGCACATTTGATTAAAATCTGCATCAAGGTGGAACGTATGGCGCGTTTGGTCAATACGCTTCTAGTCATCCGTAAAATAGAAATTGAATTGTCAAAAGGGAAGGGGCGAAGCTAACAACTGAATTTAATGGTCCGCAAAAGAGGCCTTGTCATATATGGGATAGGAAGCATAAAATGAACGCAAGTGAGTATTACACAAAGAGCAACATTAATACCATGTGCCAAACATAAGGAGGAATAGAACTTTCATAGATATCCAACAGAAGTCCTAATGCGTGATATCTCGTTACTGAATCGCGGAAGCTTCGAGGACATTACAAACAGCATTGCTGATTCTTTTGTAGTCGTATTTCTACAAACAACTTTCTCATTAGACTTTCTCGATGGACAAGTGGGATTTAAGGAAACTTTGAACTAACAACTCTGCCAATACGAAAGATTCTTTTCTAAAATTTAATAAAAAAATACCATCTTCACTATATTTACATGTGAGATATTGGCCTTCAGCCTCATCCTCAGGATCAGATTCCATTTAAAGTTCAGTTGATCCTGTCTAGCATTACGTTAAAGTTCGTCTTTTTGGTCTTTTGCATAAATATTGTCATTGTTCATGGCATAGGCAAAATAGTTTACAGATTTAAGTAATTTAAAATGGTGGCTGAAGTGGTGGTTGGGAGTGGGGTGGGAATTAGCTTCTACTTAAGAGCCATTGATATGCCCAGATGTTCAAAATGAAAGAAGTTGCATTTTATTATGCCATGATGTCCAATCTTCATAATTTTACTCCCGATTCATGGTTGAAGCTCTGTTTATCATATCCAATTCCCATTGACCAATTACTGTTTTGCCGCTGGTCTAATCACTCGAATTACCTGTGGTTTTTAATATATGCCAGAACATGTCGGCCAGATTGGCCATTGTTATATTTAGAGGACCACAACTCGCCACGTCTATTATAATTTCTCATAGGTAATTGGAAACTATTCTTGTGGACATGATTCAACGGTGTTTGGATTGACATGCAGTGTCACTCACGCTAGTTTATTGGCTTACCCCGATATCTCCATGTATAACGCACCTAATAACTTTGATCTCTGCACTAGTTATCGGTGAACAAATCCGTCTGCCTCTCAAAAGATAGCTTCATTTAGCCTTTTCCAAAAGAACGTTTCTACATTCGAAGTTTTAACGCTTAACCTACTCTTCTTACAACACTCCACTCCCACTCCCCCCCCCCTCCTCCTCCTCCCATTTTCCCTTTCCTAGGTCTGAAACTGTCTGTTACACCACTGTCAGTATCAACTTCGGCCTTTTCTTACCTGCGAACGATTGCTGTCTATCGTTCACCTTTAAGATGACCATACTTTAAGAGGAGCATTCTCTCAGTTAGGCTGCAAAATTAACTTTATTAAGGTTACTTAAGGTGGGATTTCAGTTACTCTTGGATTGAATACTAGTGCATTTGATAACTTGTTTCCAAGCTTCCTATCAACGTCACATTTACTCCTCTCAGGATGCAATGAATGAAATTCCAATATTTAAATTTCCCACCATAGGAGAGATACTCAGTAAAGGATGCATTTCCATGTTTATAAAATGGAAATTCATTTTCATTTATATCCATCACCTCGAAGTTGACTTTTTCTTACCGACTTTATTTTTTAATGCTTTGCAAAATGTGACAACATAAGAAATATCTGACTGAATTCTAATTCAACATGAAGCACATTTTATCATTTCAAATGGCAGGCATTTTGAATAGTTATCATTAGCTATTTAGCTGACTTCGGGCTTCACAGAGGGGAGGAACATCAAAGTGGCTTCACAGAGGGGAGGAGGAACATCAAAGTGAGAAGAATTCAAGAGGGGGAACAGAAAAGTGATTCAAGGATGCAAAAGAGATAGACAGACACGCGAAAGAGTGATTCACAGACGTAGAAGAGACAGGCAGACACAAAGGTAGAGAAAAAGTGAGATAAGTACTGTGGAAGTTGTGGAATATGACATACAGTGGGATGATGGTAGTTTGAAGTCAGGAGTCAGCTGCCTGATCTCTGAGCTAGGATCATGTGATGCACATTTTATAAAGTTGTGACCATCATCACACAAACACACACTCTCTCTGACTTACAGAAGTAAAAGTAAAAGGCATTGTCATGGGATTTTAGCCCAAATAAAGATAATTAAAAAAGATTTGAAAGAAAAGGACCTGGAGTGTGGGAGAGTGTAATTTTGTCACAGATCTGAACGTTTGCTTCAATGCTGATTACTTTGCCTTGCAAACGCCTTCTGGCAATGTTCTGGACAAACTTCGAACCAGCAGGCGTTAGACTGGGAGGTGTTTTACGACGTTCTGAGGTCAGAGTGGAAAGTAATTACCCATTTTACGATCCCTGAGCGTGTCGTAGATAATCCTCCCACCCCATCGCNCCCCCCCCCCCCCCACCCACTCCGTCATAATTTATGGGCCTTACACCTTTCCTTGTCAGGTCACAACTGGGGGTTGAACTGGCTCCAAAGTTTGTAAAAAGCACGATGTATTTCGGTCAGTTCATGAAAATAGTAAATTTTGCCAGACTTTGGGCAAAATATTTGAAAATAACGCGATATTTTAACAAAATAATGGTAGGCTAAACGTCTGTTGACATAAATGCAAAAATAAACATGAATTTGGAGAGCTCGAAAATGTTCTTCTAAACGATTTAAATAGCGATTTTCTATAGAATTACATCAAGAACTACCAAAGTAGAAGATGTAGAAAGAGTTTACTAGGAAGTATATAAGTATAAAAGAGTATGCAGTGGCAATAGGTGACCACAATGACAACTTTTATCTGAAGCGATATTTGCACTCGTAATTGAGTACAACCCAGTTTCAAGAATCGTATTTCTTACTCCATTCCTATAATGATC